GAGGGTTTGGGGAAGGGGATGGCAAGGGGGTTGGGAGGAGAAGGGAGGGAGCGTAGGGGGAGTACAGGCATGATGGAGGTGCCGAAAAGGAAAAGAGATGTGATGGAATGGTTAGAGGGAGCAGGGGGAAAGGAGAAGCAGGAGGAGGAGGGTAACTTCCAGAGGAGCAAAAAAACCTCGAGGTCACCGGTGGGGAGAAGGATGGGGGAGGATGATGGAAACGTTGGAGGGGTGGATGGAGGAGATGAGAGGAAGGTGGGAAGGGATGGAGGAGAGAATGGAGGATAGGGTGAATATGATAATGGGGGAGCTAGAGAGTATGAGAGGAAGGGAGGAGGAATGGAGAAAAGAGAGGGAGGGAATGGAGAGGAGAATTGAGGAGCTGGAGAGAAAGTGGGAAGGGAGTATGAGCATAAAGGGAAAGGGGAAGGGAATGGAGGAATTGGAGAAGAGGGTGAAGAAGCTGGAGGAAGGGGGGGTGAAGGGAGGGGAGGATAAGGGGGTGGAGGAGAGGGTAAGGAAGATGGAATGGTCGTGGGAAAGAATGGAAAGGCAGGAAAGGAAAAGAAATGTAGTGGTGAAAGGGTATAAAGGGGAGGGGAAGGAGGTGAGGAATGTGATAGGGGAGATATTCAGGAGCATAGGAGCGGAGGTGAAGGTAGAGGAGGCGAGAACGATGAGAACGGGAAGAGAAGAGTGGGGGGAGATGGCAGTGGTGAAGCTAGAGACGGAGGAGGGGAAGAGGGAGGTGATGAGAAGGAAGAAAGGATTGAGGGGGGGAAAGGTTTGGATAGAAGAGGATTTGACTTGGAGAGAAAGGCGGGCTAGATGGAGATTTAGAGAGGCGGTTAGGGTGGAGGAAAAGAAGGGGGCGAGGATTTGGATGGGAGTGAATAGGGCGATGATAAACGGGGAATGGTGGTTCTGGGATGAGAAGGAGGAGGGATTGAGGAAGGGGAAGGCAATCGGAAGAGGAAAAGAGGGAGAAGAGGCATCGGGGGTAGGAGGGAGGGGGGATTAGGTAGGGAGGGAGGGAAGGAGCAGGGGGGAAGTAGGACAAGGAGAGGTGAAAGTCGGAGGGATGGGGGCGAAGGGGGAAGGGAGAATGGAGGAGTGAGGATGGAGGGGAGAGGTGAGGAGGCAAGGGATGGGGGAGAGGAGGGAGGGATGGTGAAAGTGGCTTTTTGGAATGTGGCGGGGATTAGGGGGAAAGAAAGGGAGTTCTGGAAGGAAATAGAGGAATGGGATATAGTGGTAATGTCGGAGACGTGGATGGAGAAAGGGGGGTGGGAGAGGGTGAGGGGAAGATTGTCGAGGGAGTTTAAATGGGAGATGCAATGGGCGAGTAGGAAGAATAGAAAAGGGAGGGCGATAGGGGGAATGATGATGGGAATAAGGAAGGGTATAGAAGTGGTTGAAGAGGAGGAAATGAGGGAGATGGAGGGAATGATGATGAGGGTGATAAGGGTAGGAGGTGAGAAATGGAGAATAGTGGGGGTGTACGTTAGCGGAAACATGAAGGAGATATGGGAGAGGGTTGGGGGATGGGAGGCGGATGGAAGGAAGGGGATAAGAACGATTGTTGGAGGAGATTTCAATGCGAGGACGGGGGAGTTAGGGGGTTGGATAGAATGGAGGGAAGTGAGGGGGGAGGAGGGGGGTAGGAAGTCGAGAGACAGGAAGGTGAACAGGGAGGGGAGGGAGCTGCTGAGGAGATTGGAGGAAGAGGGGTGGTATATATTTAATGGGTGTGGGAAAGGGGATGAAGAGGGGGAGTGGACGTATGCAGGGGGAAGGGGGGTATCAGTGTTGGATTATGTGGTAGGGGACGGAGAAGTATGGGAGAGAGTGGAAAGGATAAGGGTGGAGGATAGGGTAGATTCAGATCACTTTCCGGTGGTGGTGTGGATTAAAGGGGGAGGGGGGATCAGTAGAAAGGTAGGAGGACGGAGAGGGAGGAGGTGGAGGTGGACGGAGGAGGGCAGGAGAGAGTTCAGGGAGAGAATAGAGAGGGGAGCGAGAAGGGAAAGGGAGGTTATAGGATGGGAGGAGATCAAAGGGGATATACAGGCTATAATGAGGGAGGGGCAGGGGGAGATTGGGGGGATGGGAGGGGGAGGATGGTGGGACCGAGAGTGTAGGAGAGAGAAGAGGGAGGTAAGGAGGGAGTTAAGAAAGTGGAGGAAAACGGGAGGAGGAGGGGAGAGATATAGGGAGGTTAAAGGAGGATATAATAAGTTGTGCGAGAGGAAGAGAAAGGAAGAGGGAGAGAGGTGGGCGGAGGTGGCTAGGAATGCGAAGACGGAAGGTCAGGTGTGGGAGGTAGTGAATAGGGAGAGAAGGAGGAGAAGGGGGGTGAACGAGGGGATCAAAATGGAGGAATGGACGGAGTACTTTAAAGGCTTAATGGGGGGAGTGGAGGGAAGAGTGGTGAGAGGGACAAGGGGGAGGGAGGAGGAGGATGGGGAGCCGGGGATTACAAGGGAGGAGATCGAGAGAGCGGTGGGGAGGTTGAAGGATGGGAAGGCGGTGGGGGAGGACGATATTCCTGGAGAGGTGTGGAAGTATGGTGGGGAGAGGGTAATAGATGGGTTGTGGGAGGTATGTGATAGGGTGTGGAGAGGGAAGGAATGGATAGAGGAATGGAATGAGGGGATAATAGTACCGATAAGAAAGAAGGGGGATAGGGAGAGGGTAGGGGACTATAGGGGGGTAACGATAACATCGTCGGCGTACAAGGTGTATGCGATGGTGTTGGGGGAAAGAATGGAGAAGGAGATAGAGGAAGGGGGGATGGTACCGCAGAATCAAACGGGGTTCAGGAAAGGAATGGGAACGATTGACAATATATATGTATTGAATCACTTGGTGGGTAAACAGATAAGCAGAGGGAAAGGAAAGTTGGTTGCGTTTTTTGTGGATCTGAGAGCAGCGTTTGATTCAGTGGACAGAGAGATATTATGGAGGGCGATGAGAAGGAGGGGAGTAAGGGAGGGGTTGGTGAGAAGATGTGAGGACTTGATGAGGGAAACGAGGAGTAGGGTGAGGGTGGGGGAGGAGAGGAGTGAGCAATTTTGGACGGGAAGAGGGGTGAAGCAGGGATGTCCACTGAGTCCAGGGTTATTTAACCTATTGATAGCGGACCTGGAGGAGGAGATGAGGAAAGGGGGGTGGGGAGGGGTGAGATTGAAGGGGGAGAGAGTATACACGCTAGCGTACGCGGACGATGTGGTGTTGTTGGCAGAAGAGGAGGATGATATGAGGGCGATGATGAGAAGGTTTGAGAGGTATGTGAGGGATAAGGGATTAGAGGTGAATGTGGGGAAGTCAAAAATAATGAGGTTCAAGAGGGGGGGAGGGAGGAAAAGGAGAGTGAGGTGGAGATGGGAGGGGGGTGAGGTGGAGGAAATGAGTGAATTC